ATCCGACAGTTACCTGATGGCTACAGTACCATTCTGGGGGAGAGAGGAGTTACCGTGTCTGGGGGCCAGAAACAGAGGATAGCTATCGCAGCTACAAGCGCTCTTAGCGCTCTACTGAAAATCCCATCCATCCTCATACTAGACGAGGCTACCAGGTCAGTTGCAAGGGAATGACTTGATTGTAAAACATGTTAAAATGTAACATGTAAAAATGTAACATGTGGAAATATAAGAAGTTAAAATGTAACATGTTAAAATGTAACGTGTTAAAATGTAACATATTAAAATGTAACATGTAAAAATGTAACATGTAAAATTGTAACCTTTTAAAATGTAACATCATTGACTATACACCTCTACTAGATTGAACACTATGCGGTCGCTTTGTTAACAATACACTGTTCTGCGTTAGTGTATGGTCCACGTAGTTATGTTAGATGACGCTAGGCGCTCTTCAAGCGCCTTTAGTTCCCTTAGATAACGTAGGATCGCGCTGCGAGCGCCCGTCGTCTGTCACTGCAGACAGCCTCGGCTACGATGCGTATTGCGATTGCGAGCCGCGAGTCCCGAGCAGTGACGATCAACTTGTTGATTACCGCGCGGTAAAAAGTACAAATTGCTGATATTGCGTGATATATAGCTTGCCTACTTACTTTGATTGTGTGTCTTCGTATCCATTGGCAAAAGTCAGCTGATTTTCATTAAAGCAAAATAGATAATAATTTCCAGAAACTTTTCCAAAACATGGCATATTTACGACTAAATATGATTAATACAAAAGTATTTTTTTAATCTTTATACAAAATGTTGGCTTGGAGACCATGTTATGCCTAATTTTTATCATTTCACTGAGGACGTTTTCAACACTGAACATTCTAGAGTGAAGTTGTAAATCATAGAACAAAAGTGTACTGTCTGTATGACAGATGAATTGCTTTTTCGCAGAAGTAGTTTCTAAGTGGAATTAAATATACACTTTAGTCAACAAGTAATTATAATCATCACCTGCTATAAATTATAATATTCTTTGGTGCTTTACAATTTAATGAACTATTATTGGTTTTTGACTTAGACAAAACCCCTACTCTATTAGTATATAATGGATTAAGGAAAATGAACTACAAGAAAATTGAAACATGGTTAGAAACTACAAAGAATTAAGAACACTTATTAGAATAATATATTTAATAATAAGAATAAATGAACATACGTACATAAAAAACCAATGCACTCAAACATTACAAATCAACCTTCGGGGATCGCAGGTGATATATTACATAATACTTTAATAATGTGTAAACGGTGTAATTTTTTGATGGAAGTATATAACAAATATATATCTAAATATAGCATCAACTTGACAAATCAAATGTTCATTCTAATGGGTCAGAAAACGTTACGAGATTAAAATGTTATATTGAATAAATGCAAACAATGTAGCATTTTATATAATGCAACCAATGGAAACAATTTGTTTTGCATCTCAAACATGTTCAGTCTATTTTAAAATACAAGAACAAAAGCCTAAATTAGATGATAACTGTTATTGTTTCTTGAAATTGAGTAATAATATATAATTCTAGGAACAAACCACGAACACATAGAAATAGAATATACAGTCTTGCACGATAGAAAAAGTAACCCAACTTAACATGATTAGGGTTGCTAAAAATATTTTACAAATAAATTCAAATATATCAACATAGTGCAATTGACATAATCTAGTAACCGTTTGTAAAAAAAATCCATGACAGAGACTAAGTTTACAAGTAGTCTCATTATTTACAGTTAACACAATATACTGTATTTCAAGGTAGTACATTTTAGAAGAAATTAGATCAGATTATCTATTTTAATGAATGATCGGACTTGTAGTAACTGTTTTACGTTTTAAATAAGGTTTATAATTGATATTTGTAATTTAATCGTGTCCTTATCTGTTTGCCTTTTTATTTATTATGACTTAACTTATTTCTGTGGTTTGGGCTGTCATTAGCCTAGGCTACTTAGCGACTTGAAACATTTTTAACTTTTTGCAATAATATGGATTTATGGTAGCTTTGGGTCCTAAGTGATCGAGATTCCCAAAGCGTGTGTTTTAAAAGTTTTAATCTTATGGCTCTATCCAGTATAAATTCTCTATGAGGGTTGCAAGGGTGGTCTGTAGCAAGCCAATCTCCATGTACCTTTGTTATGGCAGACCTAGCCAAGTCCACAATAGTTCTCTTGACATTTGTGTAGTGCTTTAAATTGTCGTAGTTCATTTTAAAAACTGTCAAAATGGCCTCAGTTGCACTGACCATCAGCTGGGAGGGTGCAGTGAGATGGCTCACCCCTTCCTTGGTCGCGTAAGTCCGGTGAAGGATCAGTAGCTCATTGGGCTCGTCAAGCAACACCTCCTTTGTAAGGACGGTCCTGCATATTCCACAATTGTACTTCTTCAGTGCCAACATTGCCAAGTACCCAGCAACATACCTGTAATTTTTAATATTCGATACTCAAACTAATATATCTAGTATTATTTGAATATTATGTGTTGAATCATTTAATAAATGTTTTTAATTTTCTTAGAAACATTTCATTTAATTGAGACCAATTAGAAATATTTTGTATTACAATTATTTACGATTTTACTATATACTGAAAAATTTATTAATTTGTGTGTTTTTTATTGTCTGGCTGAAATTTATATCTTAATGAATAAAAAATATGAAATAATAAAAGCCAAAATTAGTTTTAAATTAAACGTTAGTTTTCTATATATTCATTTAACAATCGTAAAAAAATATACTGATCAATGGCTCAGACCCCCGGTACCATTATTTTAATCATAGGTTTCTGTATTGAGACAGCTATTTTATTTTTAAGATTTCTACCAGATTATGAATTCAAAATGTTTCATCATCTACAATCATAAGACTGTATTCACAAATGTTTAACGTCAACCAAAGCATTATCAAAATTAATAATTCAAGGACAAACAGAATATATTGCTATTAAAATGTGTATAGGCAAATTGTGTTCAGAAAGTATTTTTCTATTCAATAGTAGTATAGTCAATGGTAATATAATCTGTTGTAATCTACAAAAAACGTCATAAGTTTCATACAATTACAAATATAGGTGTACTTACTGCACAGCACAAGTTTCTAGAGAAGGGTAATTTGATGAACAGGGTGCAGAAATGCCTGGAGTCGGATCGATGTCCATGTCATCTGGATCGTCTCCGTCTGGCTCGTCTTCGGAGTCTCCAACGTCTGGGAAGGTTGGTACGTCTGCAGTAACTCCCCCATCCTCACCATCATCCTCATCCTCATCTTCAGTATTGGACAGCGTGTCACTCATCTCACTCCCCGATGCGTCAGCCATAAACACGTCTTCATCAATCTCACAGTTTCCAGTTTCGGGAGCTTTCATCAATGTTACATGGATTCTATATCTAAGGTTCTGTCGAAACTGCATGGCGGATGGGTTTCTTTCGTAACCACATCGTTGACGAGCGATGGAGAACTCATTCTCTAACGCGTCCTGTGTCAGTCTGTTGGTCAGTAGGAATCTATAGCTTTCTAGCTTCAGATCATTCCATAGCATCCCTACTGCCGTTATAGACCACACAAGACCATCAAAACATGGTGGTCTCTCCAATTCCCTCTTTTTGACAACCAGTGTCTTCCATGACTTAATCCAAGGAATAGCAGAACTTAACCTACTCAATACATTATTCCCCGCGGCGGAGGACGAGATGGCACATCTGAGAGGATTAGGATCAAAAGGGACCTTACTGTTAAGGCAATCAAAAATATCGTTTAGGATGCCAACAAAATCTGCAGTCTGGCGAGCATCTTCTGCCAACTGATTGGTCTCCACTGCGGTTAGCATTGCAGCTTTGACACTGCTGCTAAAAACTTGCGTGGCTAGCTTTACTTTCATTTTATCAAATGAATTTGGACTTATGTGCTTATCAGTTAATTTGCACAAGGCCCTAGCTTTCCCAGCACTTGCATCTAGCTCGTAAAGCTGCCTTATGAAGCTCCAGTCTGCTACTCCACCGTCGTACTTAATGCATCTCTTTAAAAGGCAGTTTCTTACACTCTTAATAAGGTGTGGAACGTCATAAATGATGAATATCTTCTTCGTTTCAACGATGAAGTAGGGCTTTTCCTTATTCACTCCGAGATCTGTCATAGCTTTACGATTGTTTGAGCCCTGATCACAAACAACTGCTCGGACCTGCAGGCCAATGTCGTGCAATGCCTTTACGCAGTCTTTGACAAATTTGGCAATGTCACTGCCTTTGACATTATTGGAAGCTAAATAGTATGCCACAGGCATCTTCCATTTGTTCAGCACCCCACGAACCATGAACATCATAGCGTGGGTTGCAATTTTAGGGGACCTGCCCATTGAACCAAAATCTTGGAATCCTTCAATCAAGTCCCGCTTTTCATTATAGCTTAGGTGTCGTTTGATGGACATTTCGTCAAACATTATAACAACTTGACGTTCTTGGACAGTCATGTTTTTGACTTTGTACTTCAAAAGAGTGACGAGCTCTTTGGATATGCCGGGCATTAGATTAGTGACATTCAACCACCGTGAAATTGTTTGTCTGGCAGGTAAATTCACTTTCTTACAATCTCTTAAGTTGTTATATAAAGAGGGTGACCTGTAAAACATTTCTATAGCTAGCCGCTTTTCGTCCTCACGCCACATAGTACCACGTTTACGTATCATTTGCATTCCAAGAAGAGTGTTGAAGAACTTATTATTAATAACGTCAGAAGCTGATTTGTAAATTTCTTGTTTGGTAAGTTTATTCGTCTTGTTACTTAATCGCTTGATTTTTACACTCAGTTTTTGGTTTTTTGAGCGGTATGTTTTCAAACGTTGTCTTAGTTTCTTCTTTCTGGGTGTTTCTTCAATATGCTTCCTTTTTGGTCTGTCACAGGAAAGGGTTGATACTCCTGGAGTGATTCTACAGCCAGTGGAGGGTGGCATTCCTAAGCTACCTGGAGGTGATGATGTTGATGAGGTGGTATAGTGGCTAACTGTGGTGGGATGATTAACTGTCGAAGATGAGGTGGAGGAGGGTGGCACTGCTGAGTAAGTTGCAGGTGATGGTGCTGATGAGGTGGAGGGGTGAGAAACTGTCCAAGATGAGGTGGAGGAGGGTGGCACTGCTGAGTAAGTTGCAGGTGATGGTGCTGATGAGGTGGAGGGGTGAGAAACTGTCCAAGATGAGGTGGAGGAGGGTGGCACTGCTGAGTAAGTTGCAGGTGATGGTGCTGATGAGGTGGAGGGGTGAGAAACTGTCCAAGAGGGGGTAGAGGAGGGTGGCACTGCCAAGTAAGTTGCAGGTAATGGCGTAGAAGAGGTGTAGGGACGACTATCTGTCCAGGCAGAGGAGGGTCCAGCTCCGAGGAAAGCTGAGGTACTTGAAGTAACTGACCACGATGGTGATGTTGAAGATGACAAGGCTTCAGAAGTTGAAATGTAGGTTGAAGTTGAGTGAAATAGGGATGTGGATGATCCACTGCTGGAAACTGGGGTTGTTTCAGTGGCTGGTGTTGTAATGTCAAGCAAAGTTGGGACAGCGTTTGGTAGTAACCTTGTTCGCATGTCACTTGTAAAACAAGATCGTGTAAAATGCCTATCGCAAACTGATTTATTCGCATATTGCGACTCACTTAGTCCTTCCAATGTCTCATTCGCACAGTTCAAAATCCATTTATTAAAAACATCACGTTGTCTAACAGGAAAACGAAAAAATATTCGGTCAGGATTGTCTCTCTTATTAGCTTCACAGCCTACAAAAGCACACTTGCTTCCTTTCTGTTTGTAAACACTTGCCATTTTTGACAACTTTAGTCCTAGTTTAGTTATTTTACATATTTACACTATAAAAAGATAACTCATGATATTATGTGTTACGTTATTATATAACAGGCCTGTGATTTCGGACCCATTCACGACCGATACAACTTCAATTTGAATTTGAAAGGCTGTTTCAGAACTTGTAGCGGATACGAATATTGTTGTTAGGGTCAAAATAGCATATCAGTTTAAAGAGAAGGTATGTCACAAAAATATAAATTGATTTGTTTCCTATCAAACCAATCTCACCTCGTTCGATCAAATTAAAACTGTAGGCTAATCTGTAAAATTGAAATTTGCTGAGTCACTACTGAGCCCTCTCCTTAAGTAATGAAATATATAGACTATTAAATAAAAATGCAATAGACGACGTCTTCTAAACGTACAACAAATATACTCGGTGAATTGCCCTACTCCAACACAGTACGGTAACTGTTCAATATATTATTATAATCTTTGACTATTAATACAACAGTTAATGTTATAACGTACCTAACGCGGGATATAGGTGACGTTAATTTGTACAGGGCTTAAGGGGAGCAGTTCGTGAAAATGCTCAAAAAATTGACTTTTATTAATTGCCAGGATGCCCCAGGATTGCCTTTTATGACTAATAATGGTTGAAATCCGTCAGACAATCCGTATGTACACAAAAGATGAAACGATAACAGATAGGCCTATCAGTTCACGCGTGTACATATTGCCATTGACTATTGCCGCGGGCAGGACTGGAAGTAAATTGAATCAGGTTATGACGGAAAGACGTCTCTGGATTGTCGTCTGTGTTATCAAAAGCTGATATTGGACTAATTGTAGTGACGGAGGAGAGTTTATAAAATATAATGGTATTAATAATTGAGATTCCCATTAAAAATTGTTGACAATAATAAGCAATTTATATGCTGGATACAAATGATGGTCTCCAAATTCTACAGTACTGTGCGAAAGGAAATTTATTAAATACTTTGATGAGTTTGAAATATATAAATACTAGTGTCCCTGTTGCTCGAAATCGAGCAATTGCTAAGTGTTACAGACAATATTTTAAAACAAATAACAGTAATAATTTTTGATGAATTTAAAAGATTCGACTCAAAGATTATGGAATACTCAAGATTTACATAACAGATCGATTTAATCAACATTTATATAAAAAAGATTATACAGGGTGTCCCGGAACTCTCTACCAATATTTTAGGGCATTGCTCCTGGGTAAGAAACATACCTAAATATCATATTTAAATTGTCCGGAAGTCCTTAGTTACTCACACAGCCGCCATTTTGTTTTTTTCAGTTATTAATTTTTTTTCTAAATAATGGTTAAGCATACGAAATGGAAACTTTGCACAAACATTAAGAACAACTAGACAAAGCTACAAAAAAATTATGAAGATTTTTCAAATTCATAAAACAAAATGGCGGCCATTTAAAATTTTTATAAAATCAACGGTTTTTGAGCTATTTAAGAAACAACATTTTAAATGGTCGCCATTTTGTTTTATGAATTTGAAAAATCTTCATAATTTTTTTGTAGCTTTGTCTAGTTGTCATTAATGTTTGTGCAAAGTTTCCATTTCGTATGTTTAACCATTCTTTAGAAAAAAAATAATAAATGGAAAAAACAAAATGGCGGCTGTGTGAGTAACTAAGGACTTCCGGACAATTTAAATATGATATTTAGGTATGTTTCTTACTCAGGAGCAATGCCCTAAAATATTGGTAGAGAGTTCTGGGACACCCTGTATAAAAAAAACTCATTATTTCTATTTCTTTTCCTTGGTGGTGTTCTATGGCTTTTTTATGTTTCCATAGTTTGCAAATCGGCTCTTTCAATGATTACTAAGAAATGCAGCACAGTGTTAATTCAGTTTTCTATTTAGTATAACAATTTATCCAGGCTTTCTCGTTTTAGCGAATTTCCCTATAGGGAAGTAGCTATTACCGTAGGTGGCACGGTAAGACCTAGACCCGGGACCGATTTACTTTTTCATTTTGATGTCCCCAGAGGCCAAAAACACCATTCGTTCAAATTTTTATATATGTATATATATATATATATATATATATATATATATATATATATATATATATATATATATAGACTTATATATATATACGTCCGTGAACGCGATAACTTGAGTAATTTTTGTCCGATTTTGATGAAATTTGGTTTAAAAGTGTAAAGCGGGATAAACTTGAATGAGTTCGCGAACCAGCATGATCGGACCATGGGAACGGGGCTTTACGGGGGGTTTTATGGGGTAAAAATTGGTTTTTCTCACTTTTGACCCTAAAAACACAAAATTTCCCAATTTCTCTTTAGACCTTTTTAAAGAGCTTAAAAAAACAATTAATTTAGTATATAAAAGTATTTTTGTTCGGTTAATAGTAACGGAGAAAATTTAAAAAATTTTAAATTTATAATTCCCATGTTATTCTTATGGAGATTATTGTAAAATATTGTAGTTTGCTTGTTTATGGATGTATTTTGTATTTTGATCAAATTTATTTATTTTGTACTAAGCTATCAATATTTTACAAAAAAACACACTTTATTAGTTTCCTTGTAGCAGCAAACCTAGGTACTCGTTAAACTTAATGTTATTAAAATATATTTAATTGAAAATCAATTAAGACAAATGGAAATTCGCTTAGTCGGCAGGTTTGCTGCGGCGGGGGTATTTTTCATTGTAATATTTACGCCAACCCAAAATTCAAATAGTAAATATTTCATTTCAACCAAGTAAGTAAATGTTTGTAGCAAACTAACTGTTAAATTTGCAAACTTATTGACTGTGTTTACAATTAACATATATCCTTTTTCTCACTTTTAATTTCTGACAACAGCTGGAGTTTCATAACAATATTTGTTTCCCATGTTAATCTTATGGAAAAATACGAAACTTTAAAGGGCCCCACGGCCTCACTCTCTAATTATTTCCCTAAACAGAAAGTTTCCTGCACAACTTCACGTTACGCTCTTTCCAATGACAACTTTATTTTATGTTTATGATCTATTTGAGTCTGTTCTAATATTTGTGAAATGCTGTAACAATATTTTACAGGGAATACTTCTGTTCAAAACGCGTGTTTAAAATTTATACATACATATCCAACGAATTTACCGTTACACCGAATTGCAGGATAAACTGTTAAAACCATGTACGTATGTATTTATCATATCAGATAATATGATGATTATAATATGAGGTATAAGCATTGAATACATATGTCTGACTATACGTAGTTAAAGCAAGTCCTTGAAATGTCTGCGATAGCTGCTAACCAAAACTCCAAAAAGCCCTGAAAGTTTATAAGTTTATAAAAATTTAAACAGGCATAACTAACTGTCAAATGAATTTTGATTTTATAATTCCACACAGCTGGTTCAAACATATTAAATACTGCACGAGAGGGCAACATTACTTAAATTTAACATTACTGAAATGGAGCTGTCAAACCATATGTTAATGTAATTCCATTAGTATATTACTTAATTTGTTTATGTTTATGATCTATTATACTGAGTCTGTTCTAATATTTGTGAAATGCTGTATTAATATTTTACAGGGAATAATTCGTTGTAAACGAAACCATTCATGGATATAGGGAATAAAGATTCTATAGTCATTGCCGTGTCAACCTGGGCCCTTCCTGAGTTTTATGAGGTTTATTTTTTAGATTTTTTGTGTAAACAGTAATATACTGCCACAGAAAATCTATAGACTGAGCGAATTTCAATTTGGCTGATTATAATTTCACTAAAATATGCTTTTACAAGTTTTACAAGTTATCACACGATTAAAACATTTACATAAAAATACAAAAATTTGCAAATTGCACAGGAAAAATAATTGATTTTAACATTCTAAGTCATAACAAAATAGTATAAATTTTATATGTCACGTTATTCTTAGTTTCATATATTTTATATAGTTGTATCATTGACTATACGTATAGTCAAAGGTTGTATACAGTAGATTGCAGAATTAGTTGGCAAAAAGGTAATCCAAATTTTACTAGTGTCGGTTATTGCGCATTGACATTGACTTTATTTGCTATGTTATAAATAATTTTAAGTTGTACTGAAGTAAACAATAATCAGCGATAAATGAATTTAAATGATATTGTTATGGAGAGCATTTTACGTTAGATCTAAATGTGTGTTAAAACTTTCGGGAGTTCACAATTCCTTTAAAGGCTGTCACGAGATAGGGACCTTCAATTTGATCTGTCTCCCGTCCCCGTCGTTCTACGACTTCCCAGTCGGCCAAAATTTTAACGCAAAGAAATACCTTACGTAAATTTATGTGTGGATCGTTGGACTAAGTTAATAAACATAAATTAGTATATAAAAATGAAAAATAGTGGATGCCTACGTTGGTAGGCTCTTATAACTTACATTCTCATTAACTTGGGAGTTTTATTTTGACCCATGGAACAATACCTAGAAGTATTCGTCACCAATTCTGAAACAGTAAATAAAAAAGTCCCTACGTTTTCACCAACATACGTTAAACACACGCACTCGAAATCGACACGACACACCGGTCAAAACTAACGACGACGTGCACAACCGTTACGACCGTCGCCGTGCTCAAACATTTGCGAACTGAAGTTTGGCAACAATACAGCTTTTAACATTTTGGCGTCAAACTAAGGGATGAAGGAGATGGCACAAAAACTTTATGACACGTCACTCAAAGGTAGCGAGCGGCATGTCATGTCCCAACGAATTGAGACGGGGCAACTCGCACCCTACACCGTCAGGGAACGGACTACTTACACATGCCTAGTCCCC